GGGCGCCTGGGTGGCTCAGTTGGTTAAGCGACTGCCTTCGGCTCAGGTCATGATCCCGGAGTCCCGGGATCGAGTCCCACATCGGGCTCCCTCCTCAGCGGGGAGTCTGCTTCTCCCTCTGACCCTCCCCCCTTTTGGGCTCTCTCTAACTCACTCTCTCTCTCTCTCTCTCTCTCTCAAATAAAAAAAAAAAAAAAAAAAAAAGAGCCTTAGGCCCCCTGCCCACCAGCATGCAGATCCAGACTCATGTAGATGGGGAGCCCCTCAATTCTGCCTCAGGTCTTCCACGGATCTGGCCAGTGAAAGGGGAGGGGCGGTGGTTGGTGGAGGCAGCCCTCACTTTTGCTGCCCTCACCCCTCCACCAGCTGCGTTCTCCCCGTTCTCCCTGGCTCCATCTTTTCTATGTGTTGGGGAGGGGGTAGGGGAGGGTATTTGAAACTTCAGACGGGAATAAAAGCGGCTCCCCTTCCCGGCTCTTTTCTCTGCGCTGGGGGGAGGGGGGGTTGGGGGGGAGGAGCTCTCAGCCTGCCTCCAGGTGCAGATGGCCAATCCCCCTCCCATCCTCTGGTCTGAAAGCCCCAACCCAGCCTGGGCCATCTGTTGCCGGGAACCTCCTTCTACCCATTCCCTCCCACCCGCCACCCCTCCCGCACGTGCTGACCACCTGCTCGAAAGGCTGTGGCAGCTGAGAAGGCCTGCCCCCCCCCCACCTCCCAGGCTCCCCGCTCCCTCCCCTCGGCTCCCGGCAACCTCGCCTTTGCTAATGGGCCGTAATGCCCCTGCCAGCTGCTTTGCCAAACCCACAGGACTGAGTGGGAGCGGGGTGTGCAGTATTGGCCAGAACCGCGCCCTGGTCCCACCCCGGCGCCCCCGCCCCCGAAGCCGAAGCGCTCACGCACTAGGACGCCGGGGTCTCTTCATTCCCCCTCCCCTTCCTTGCAAAAAGTGCCTCGTCACCGCTTCTGCCCGCCCCCGCTGGGCTGGGAGAACCGTGGGGTTAGCTGGAAGATTTGGGTATGTGGGGCGGCGGCAAAGGGCTTCCTGATGCAGCTCTTTTACGGACATGGAACAGAAGGGGACCTGAGGTCAAGGGTCACAGAGGGGAAGAGAGCCCACGCCTGGACGGGCCTGGGGGAAGGTCTCAGCGAGGCTCACATGCTGGCTCAGCCAGGGACTGGCCAATGGGCGTGGCGGGGCGGTGGCCGCACCAGAGGAGGCGGGGTCATATCTGCGTACAGGCGTGGTCTGCAGGCCAGGGGGTGGGGCTTGAGCCGGCCAGGCGCCGGGCCGGGGCGGGGTTTTCTTGCATATACCGCAGGCGGCGGGCCAATGGGCGGGGCTGGGGCGGGGAGCCGAGGCAGGAGGGGCGCTCCCCCGCCCCCGGAACGGAATCCTCCCGGGGAGCGGAGCAGGCTCGCGCGCGTGCATCCCGCACCATCCCCCGGCCCCCGGCCCCGGCCGGCGTCAGACCGAGCTGCCGCCGCCGCCGTCGCCGCCGCCACAGGAGCAGCAGCGCTCGGGGATCCGGGCCCAGCCGGGGCCGCGGGAGGCGGGGGCGCCCGGGCCCTGGATGTCCCGCAGCGCGGCGGCCAGCGTGAGAAGGGCGGGAGAGGGGGACTGGGGTGGGGGGCGGCGCCGCTGCTGATGTGGCGGAGGGTGGGAGGCGGCCGCGGCGCCCGGATGGAGAGAGGGTGCCAAGGCTGGGGAGGGTGGGTCTGGGTGGGGGTCCAGAACAGGCCCCCTCCAAGCCAAAGCTTGAGAGACTGGGGTCTGGGGCACAGGCCCTCTCTTGCCAAGGCCCTGGAAATAGGGATCTTGGACATAGACCTGCCCCTCAAAAAAAAAAATCAAGGACGGGGGACAGATTCTAGGTACAACTCCCTGGGCAAGGTTTTGGGGATGGGGTCCAGGACACAACCCCACATCAGGCCAAGGCCTCCAGGAGGCCGTTCCAGAGCAGACGCAATCCTTACCCCTCCCTGCCTGAGGTGGTCTCTGAGCACAACAACCCTCTAGACAAGGTGTTGAGGATGGGGGTCCCTGGGCACAGCTTCCCCACCAAGCCAAGGCCTGGGGGGGATTCCAGGCACAGTCTGTACCCAGGCCTCAGAGACGTCCTGAGCATAGCATCCCTCCCAATCCTTGGGCGGCGTCCCAGGAATAGCCCCTTCTCAAAACAAGGTCCCTTTGCCTGGGACTCCACCCCCCACCCAGCCTGAATAAAATAGGGAAATTTCAGGCAACCCCCAAAGGCTTGGTCAAGGGTCCCTGGGGCTGCCCAGGGGCCTGGGAGTGGCCCCACCCGCATACAATGTGCTGCCTCCCTCTCCTGGGTATGGCCCCCCAGGCTCCAAGATTCAGGCTAGGGGCGGGGGGGGGGGGGGCGGCTCCCCAGGGACCCAGTGCAGCCCTGTCTGTCTGCAGCGTCTGCGGGTGACGGGCGGCTTTGTGTGTGGTACCTGGGGGGAAGGGGGGATGCAAGCGATAGGGAGGTGGCTAAGAGTGTGACCCGGTGTTTGTGTGACTGTGGCTGTGTGTGTGTGTGCACTGGAGCTGGTGACTCTGAGGAATCCTGTGCCTGTGTCTGTGTTTTGTGCTTGTGGTTGTGTCTAGTAATGTGTACGATGGTGTCTGTGTGTGACCCCAGCATTTGTGTGACTCTGTGTGTGTGACAGCTACTCCTTGTGCAGAACCCTGTACTTTTTAGTCTGTGTTTGAGTGTGCGTGTGCATGGTTGTGACTGTGTGGTTGTGTCTGTGATTACATCTTTTGTGACCCTGGGTGTGTGCTTTGGTAACTATAACTGGGCTGTGACAGTGTGTGTGTTGGGTCTGGGGTTGGGCAAGTGTGTGGCCGACAAGCTGTGGGTGGAGTTGGGACTGTGTACGTGGAGTTGTGTCTATGACTCCATGGCCATGTGCCACTCTCCCAGTGATTTGTGAATGTTTGCGGTTGCATCTATAACTGATCGTATATGTGGGTCACACATATGTCTATGTGACACACAACTGTTCCTGCAACTCTGGGTATGTGACTGCCATTATATATGAAGACACATTGTGCCCGGTTGTGTGATGGCCCTGTGACGTGTAGGACAATGGTTGTGTGTTCACGGTCACATCTATGTCTCCATCTAGCTCTGTGTGTTGATACTAAGTGACTGTGTGCATTTATAGTTGTGTCTGCGTGTGATTTGGGGGAAAGATTGGAGTAGGGGTCTGAACCCCTGACTGAGTATTAATAGAGGGTTATTTCATCGTGTGTGACTCAAGTTCTAGTTGTGTCTGTGTGTGGTGGCACCAGATACTGTGTGTGGGGGGGGGTATAGGTGATTGCGGCTTCTAAATTTGTGTGTGACCTGCATGTCTGCGACCCTGGGTGATTCTATGTACTTAAGTGTATGTCATGGCCTGAGAGAGTACGCGTGTCTATAGCCATGTGGCTGTCTGGTGTGTGTGTGTGTCCCTGTGTGCGTGCTGGACCACATGGGTTTCCATCTAGGTGATTTGGTAACCGGGTGACTCTCCTGACCGCGTACATGGCTCTACCAGGAACTGTGTCTTCTGTGTAGACGCAGCTATAAGCCCTATGTCTGGGTCACCGCATTTCTGAGTTCTGTCTCTTCATCACTGTGTGCTTATGACGTGTGACGTAGAAATTGTGTGCTGATGTCTCTCTGTGTGAGATACTGTGCATCTGTCCACATGGCGCTGTGACTGTATGTGGCCACAGGCTTCACCCTGTGACCTGTGTGTTTGCGTTAAGAGAGGCTGTGTGTTTGTGATGGGGTGACATGTGCAGCCGGGGATGGGACACTGGGGGACTGTGTCATGGCCAGGGTGTATGGCTGGGTAACGTGGACACTGATGCTGTGTGGCTTGGCACACACGGCCATTTCTGAAATGCATATGGCTGGAACTGTCTGGCCGTACCTGAGCATGGCCATCCCAAGGGACAGTCGTTTCTGGGTGGTTCTGTGCATGTCTTCAGTGTGCGTGCCTGGTCCTCTATCCCGCACAGGCTAGGGCCGCCCGTGTCTCTGTGTGTGGTTGGCTGGGGAGGACTCTCCATGTTAGGTGTGGCTGATGCTGTGACCACACGTGTGTCCCTGTGACTGGGTGTGTGACCGTGAAGCACCTGTGGCTGTGGCGGGGTGGGACCGAATGTGTGTCGGTGTGTCTGCGTGCACCCATGACCACGTCATTGGGCAGCAGTGGAGCCACGTGTGACAGGTGTGTGTGGCTGGGACCATGTCCGTGCGTGACTCTGTGCTAATGGGCGACCTCTGACCGGTGTGACTGTAGGTGCTGCAACACGAGTGTGTCGGGCGGGGGCCTGAGGAGATGTCACTGGGAGTGAGTCCTGCTCCGGTGCGTGTGCCCGGGCCTGGCTCTCCATATGTGGCAGAGAAAACAAGAAGCGACCAAACATCCAGTAGTTGATGTGACCAGATGTTCGTGGCAGCGCCTGGGCAGGCTGGGGCTTGCTATTCACATGGACAAACGTCTGTGTCTGTGAACACAGATATGTGACCAGCCAGTGATAGCGGCTGACGCCGTTTACGTGTGTCTATGTGATGCGGCGTGTGCGGCTATGTGGTTTCTGTGCCCAGGGGCTGGGGACAACTGTAGACCTGAGTTGCATGCGTGCACACATGTGACAGTATGTTTATGTGTAGCCTGGACATGTGTCTAGGGGTCAAGGCCACTCCCTCTTCACACCATCCCCTTGGGTACTGAGGGCCTCCTGAGGCCAGGACATCCCCAACACATGCCCCCCCCCGAAACACACCTACTCATTCCCGGGCCATTGCTACCAGGTGCCTGGTCTCCCTAGTAACAGTTGCTATGACAACCGGGGCTCTCATCAGGGAGCCTGAGATGGAGGGGGGGGTTTGGCTGTTGTCAGAGGGGGTCAGGTAGGGGACTGAGCCCCAACCCAAGCCAGTTTCTCACCTTCTCCTCCCTTCCTTGGGCAGGGCGGACCCAGGAGGCCTGAGCCACATCTGCCCCCAGCCCCCTGTGGGGCCCCGGGGCCCCCCGAAACCTCCAGGACGGAGCCAGGTGAGTGACCAGCTGGGGCCAGGGCAAGGGCTGAGTGAGTGCGTGGGTCTGCCTCGCACAACCGGGGGAACTGTCCCTGTGCTCACACGGGCTTAATCACACTCATGAGTGGACACCTTCGAATGTCTTCCCTGCACACTCAGTGACCGTCAATCACACCCTCACAAATAACACTCATGAACACACTCTCAGACAACAACCTCCTGTTCTCACACATCTACCCAGATACTCGGTGGCCGAGACACACCCTCAGAACAACATGCATGAACCCACACTCACTACAACAGCTACACACTCTGACACACACACCCTCCCAAACAAAAGCCACAGACACACGGCCTCACCACCAACAGCGGCATTCTTGGCCAGAGACACGGACTCTCTGAGAACTCAGTCACACACTGTCCTAGGTGACAGCTATCAAAGACAATAGCCACACCCGCACACAGACACACAGCTTCAAAAGCAACAGTCATGGACACACCCTTTCGAAGACAACAACTTCGTGCTCAGACACATGCTCACAGGCATGTTCCCTGACACACAGTCCATGACCACTCTCACAGTTAAATACCCTTCAGCAACAACCTTCCAGGACCTTCACTTACGGACAACAACCACACTCTTGGACACTGACCCCCTCACAGACAGCACTCCCAGACACACTTTCACAGACAACCATTCTCAGACCTGTGTCCTTCTGTACATACAATCTTCAGAAATACATTCATAGATTATCGCTGCATGCTCAGATCTAGACACTGTTCAGGAATACACCAGTTGCACACTCGCTTGCACACACACACACACCCCATCTGCTGGTGGTGCTCTGTCGTGGTTGGCCCCTCATGCTCCTCCTGGGACTGTCAGGATGGCTTATCAGTCAGTGAAGACTGTCCCCACCTCCACTGTGACCACCTCCACTCCCCCACCTTCATCTGATGCTCACAGGTGTACACCCCCCCGGGGGGCTCCTGCCTTTGACTAGACACAGTTGACAGAGGGGCGGATCTCAGAGGGACAGAGATAAGCCCCCAGCCCCCACACCCTCTGGCTTGGGTTCTGGACCTCAATCCTTGGACTTTCTGAGTCTCCCCACATCGAACGCATGCATGCAACTCGCAACTCTCATGCTCTCTGACCATCTCATCCCCTGACCTCCTACCCCTAAAACCCCTGGCCTCATGACCCATGGCCGCTACGCCTTCTAACCCCTGTGCCCTCCAATGTCTTGACTCCCTAATAGTTTGGATCCTCATACCTCCTGACTGTCTCACATCCCTAATCTCCAGACTGCTAAAAGCTGTGATTCATGACCCCCTCCATCCCAGGCCTCCATGTACTTTGGCCCCAAGTTTTTCTTCTGCAGCCCCACTGCTGACTCTGGCATTCCCCTGCCTTCCCCGTCCCCTGACTGTTGCTGATGCATGTTCCCTGAATGCCATGTTCTTTGACCCAGTGATCCCCCCCAACCCTGTAACCCAAATCCCACGTTATCTGACCCCATGTTTCCTGAGCACTGTATCCATCCCCCTGGAGCCCATGCCTCCGGCCCCCGCCCTTAACCTGCGTGCCCCTGTCCTGTGTCACCAGAAGGCGCGGGCACCATGAATAAGTTACGACAGAGCCTGCGGCGGCGGAAACCAGCCTACGTGCCCGAGGCGTCGCGCCCCCACCAGTGGCAAGCAGACGAGGACGCGGTGCGCAAGGGCACGTGCAGCTTCCCGGTCAGGGTGAGTGGGCGGGGCGCGGGCGGGGATGTGGGCGGGGATGTGGGCGGGCCGCCGGCAGAAGCTGTGAGCTCGCAGGTCCCTGGTGCTGGGCGGGATGGCTGAGGCCCCGTCCTGTACAGAAGAGAGGTCACATTCCCAAAGAGTTGTGGAGCCTGCTGGAGCACGACCCCAAGGTCTGGGCCCCTCAAAGACGGGATCAAAACCCAACACATATTCTCTTGTACCGGGAAGGTATTATCTGGGGAGCGGGGGCGGGGGGGTGTGTAACTTCTTCCTGGAGTCACCCTATTCTGTGGGAGCTCACAATTTGCACAAGGCACTGGATGACTCTTCACAACACACACTGCGCTTCTGTGAGGGAGACAGCAGGATTCAGGTTCAAATCCCAACTCCACCCCCATCGGCTGTGGTCACAACCACTGTGTTTCCCTTCCCCCAGAAGCAGTCATGGAGTGTGAGGGGTCCATCTGGAGGTGTGGGAGATGCTGGTGATGCTGGTGGGGCTGAGGAAGGGTAGGCAGCCTGTAAAGGGTGTATCACTAACCTGCAGCTGTGGGCACCCCAGTACCCCTGGGGAAGAATGCTGGGAAATAGAGCCATCCCGGCCACAGGGTGAGGGCGCTGGGGTGAGCATACCCCAGCTCCCATCGGTCATCGGTGGGCCAGTCCTGAGACCCAGAGATGCAGACATTGGCGCCCAGAAGGAAGAGGGTAATGTGTTAAGGCCTGGGAATAGAGGCAAGGTGGGAATCAGGACGCCTGCTTCAGCATCCTCATCTGTATATCTGGGATGGGAGCAGAGTACCCGCCTCACAGGGCTGAGGTGCAGAGTGGATTCATATGTATGATGGGCGAGGGACCTTGCATCGCAGCTGCTCAGGGGACACTGGGAAGGTATTACTGTGCTGATTTCCATGCTCCCATCTCCTCCCTGCCAAGTACCTGGGCCATGTGGAGGTGGAAGAGTCCCGGGGGATGCATGTGTGTGAAGATGCCGTGAAGAAGCTGAAGGCGGTAAGTGAGGGGTGGAGCTGGGAGGGGGCCAGCTCAGACCCCAGGAGGCAGCCCTGACCAGGCCCTTTATCCTCCTCCCCCGCCCCAGATGGGCCGGAAGTCCGTGAAGTCTGTCCTTTGGGTGTCAGCCGACGGGCTCCGAGTGGTGGACGACAAGACCAAGGTAGGAGGCTTGTGGGGGTGGTAGGGGGCACCGGTGGGCCCCTCGCCTCCCCCCGGCTTGAATCGGGGCTTAGGACGCCTTCCCACCCACCTCCAGGATGGTCCCTCCCTCCGGGGCCTTCTAGACCATGTGCTCCCGCAACATCTTGGCACACCTCGTAGTCGTAATTCAGGACTGAGTCCTGCAGTTATTATAAGCTGGCACAGATAGGGAACAGCCGTCTTAGCTCGGATCCCAGCTCACCCACGTATCTGCTGGGTGACCCAGAGTATGAGATTTAACCCCTCCGGGCCTCAGTTGCCTCATCTGTGAAATGAGGATAAACATGGAGCCTGCCCTAAATGAGAAGGTAGGTGCACGCAGCGTAAAACGGTGCCTGGTGCAGTATTTGTGCTCAGATCAGTGGATGTCAGCTGTTCTGGGTTTATTGTCAGTGCATGCGGCCAGGATCTGAGTATGTTTGCTCACTGTTGATTTCTCGGCCCAGAGACTGCCCAAGGAGGCAGCAGCACATGACAAGAGTTAGGTTAACAACTAAACAGGATTGATGGCTTTGCACAGGCGGTTCCTGAGTGCAGAAAGACCGTTCCCTGCCTTTTTGCCTAGTTAATACCTCTTCCAGGAAGCTCGGCCCATCTCCTTAGCAAGCTGAGTTGGGCACCTCCTCGTGGCTCCCACCAGTCCCTCCTCGCGGCCCCCATCCCGGCCCTGACGCCTCGCCTGTGTCTCTCTCTGGTGATGGGCCTGAGTCCCACACTAACGGGGGAGCCCCATTCAAGCAGGGCCCACCTCTGTTTCAATGAGTGTGGCGTCCCCCACCCCGTTCAGGACAGGACAAAGAGCAGACACTAAGGGAGTGCTGAATGAATACATGAAAGATAGTTCAAGTTCCTCTCCTGGTTTCCCCGGCCACCATCCAGGACCTGCTGGTAGACCAGACCATTGAAAAGGTCTCCTTTTGTGCCCCTGACCGCAACCTGGACAAGGCTTTCTCCTACATCTGCCGGGATGGGACCACCCGCCGCTGGATCTGCCACTGTTTCCTGGCGCTCAAGGACTCTGTGAGTATCACCAAAACCGGGAGGAAGCTGGCTGACTCCTCTCCTGTGGCGTCGGGCCAGCCACTCACCCCTCCTCTCTCTGCCCTGTGTCCTCACAGCTCCTAACTTTGAGGAGTATGGGGAGGCTGGAGGGGGTTAATACAAAGTATTTGGAATGACGGTTGGCACATCAGAAGCGCCCAGGAAAACATTATCATCTTTCTCATTATCCATAGTTCTGCATGTTTCTCTTATTTTTGATTTTTATGAGGGTCGTATGCATATAGTAACGTGCACAGGTGGTCTGGGCAGGGCTCCATAAACTTGTGCTTACATAAAAACCCCAGCCAGGCCAAGTTTTAGAGAGTTTCCTGCCCCCAGCTGGTCCCTCGGGCCCTTCTCAATGATACCCCCAGGGTACCCACTCTTCTTTTAGCCTCGATTCACTGTGTCTGCGTCAAGGTCCCCGCCGAGAATCTGATGGGAGCCACAAATGGACTGTCTTCTCAGAAACATTCTCTTAGTTAGGTTTCTGAGGCTGTGACAGAAAACCCCCAGCTGCCAGTCATTTCAGTGAGATAGAAGTTTGTCCCTGGTTCATGTGAAAGACATCCAGAGGCAGGCAGTGCACGATTGGTGTGGCTCCTCTCTGCCCATCAAGGGCTACAGCTCCTTTATCTTGTTGTGGCACCGGAGTGTGGCCTCCACTCCATGATCCAAAATGGGTGCACATGCTCCAGCCTTTGCATCTTCATTCCAGCTACATAAAGGAGGGAGGTTCCTTCCACTGCACTGCTGCAGAGATAAATCCAGCTTCCCAGTGTCCCAGGTTAAAATTCTGACAAGAAGGTATGGGATTGGCCTGGCTTGGGTCAGGCCTCCCCTTGGTCCAGGGAGCGTGGAGCACACAGACTGACTTATCCAACATGGAGGAGGAGCTCCCCAAAGGGAGTTTGGGGTGCTGTTATCAAAAGCAAGGGGAATGGATACTGGGCAAGTAAAACAACACGTACCCCTCTCAGATTTTCACGGGATTCCTTCGTATTTCAGAAATCCCCACCCCAAGAGCTCCGAACTCCCAAAACTGGTCAGTACCCCCAACTTCCTCACTCATACACACACTCTCAGACCTCAAACCGGATGTGGAAAACCAACGTGAGAGTGTCGGGATGGATTAGTCAGTACTGGTGAGTGCCTGCCAGGGGCTAGCATGGAGATCTCAGAAACCAGAGCCTCGAGCAACTGCATATTTCCTGAGCATAGCAGGCTAAGCTGTATTGGCTATCTGTTGCTGCGTAACAAATTGCTCCAACGTTTAGTGGCTTAAAGTGACAGTCATTTATTATCTCTCAGGGGTTTTGTAGGTCAGGGATTTGGACGAGGCTCAGCTGGGTGGGGCTGGGTGCAGGGTCTCTTATTGCTGCTACAATCTGATGGTGTTTGGAGCTGTAACCCCAGGAGTCCAGCTGGATATCCCTACTCTTCACATATCTCAGGACTTCTCCACAAGGACTCTCTGGCAGGGGGGGTCAGGAGAGCTGGACTTCTTACATGGTGGCACAGGGCTCCAAAGTGAGTAGAGAGAATGAGAGAGCTTGCACCTGCTTGGTCTTGGTCTTGGTCTTGGAAACCACACAGCCTTGCTTCTGTGGGATTCTGTTTGTCCAGACGTTCGCAGAGGTCTTCCCAGGCTAAGCGGGGAGAACACAGACTCCACCTCTGATAGGGGAGTGACAAAATTCTGGAAGTTGCCAGAATTTTGCTGTGGCTATTTTTGGAAAACACGTGGCCACATGATTAGTGTGGATTCAGTGTCATACCACCTAGCTGTGGGACATGAAGCCCGAGTGACTTTCCTCTCAGGGACTCAGTCTCTTCCTCCGTGAAATGGGGGTGTTAGCAGTGGCTGCTCACAGGTGTGTTGGGGAAGCATTCGTTAGGATCACACCCAGAAAGTTCTACTCAGAGTCCCATAACACGTGTTCAGTCACTAGGAATAGTTGCTGTCATTTGAAAAGTACTTGGGATGGGGGGCGCCCGGGTAGTTCAGTCAGTTAAGCATCTGCCTTCAGCTCAGGTCATGATCTCAGAGTCCTGGGATCGAGTCCCGCATCCGGCTTCTTGCTCAGTGGGGAGTCTGCTTCTCCCTCTCCTTTTGCCCATCCCCCTCCTTGTGTTCTTTGTCTCTCTCTCTCACTCTGTCTCAAATAAAATAAAATCTTGAAAAGTACTTGGGGGAAAGAATCAAAGCAAGAAAAGAGCAAGACCATCTCCTCTGGGTAAAGAACGTGACCTTCTCTGCATTCCCTTCCACTTCTGAGCCTTGGGTTTGAAGCCTTAAGCAGCAGAACTCCCAGGATTCCCCAAGTGTAACTTTATTTTTTGAGGTGCAATTCACATGAAATTGATCAGATTGAAACATACACTTCAGTGGCATTTAGTACGCTCTCAACTTTGTTCGTTCATCACCTCTCTCTAGTTGCCAATATTCTCATCGCTCCTAAAAGTCACCTCAGACCCATTGAGCCATTGCTCCCTTTGCCCCACACCCTCCTCCCCAAGCCTGGCAACGGCTAGTCTTTCTGTCTCTGTGGAGTTACCTCTTCTAGATAGTTCATACAAACTGAGTCATATGGTATGTGGTCTTTCGCGACTGGCTTCTTTCTCTTAGCATCATGTTTTTGAAGTTCATCCTCATTGTAGCATGTCAGTACTTTTTTATGGCTGAGTAATATTCCATTGTGTGGATATATTACATGTTGTTTATCTTTTCATCCATTGATGGACATTCGGGTGGTTTCTACGTTTTGGATATTGTGAATAGTGCTGCTATGGACATTGGTACACAAGTATTTGTTTGAATACCTGTTTTTAATACTTTTGGGGTCTATATCTAGAAGCTGGATTGCTAGATCATATGCTAGATCTATGTTTAAATTTTTGAGGAATTGCCAAACTGTTTTCCACAGAGGCTACACAGTTTTACATTCCCACTAGCAAAGTACAAGGGTTCCAATTTTTCCACTCCCTGGCCAGCACTTAATACTTTCCTTTTTTTTTTTTTTTTTTTAATTATAGCCACCCTAGGGGCACCTGTGTGGGTCAGTTGGTTAAGGCTCTGCCTTCGGCTCCCAGGGTCCTGGGATCGAGCTCTGCATTGGGATCCCTGCTCAGCCAGGAGCCTGCTTCTCCCTCTCCCTCTCCCTCTGCCTGCCGCTCCCCCTGCTTGTACTTTCTCTGTCAAATAAATACACACACACAAAAAAAATTATAGCCACCCTAGTAGGTGTGAAGTGGTATCTCACTGTGGTTTTGATTTGCATTTCTCAACTGACTAATGATGTTGAGACTCTTTTTATGTGTTTATTCACCATTTGTATATCTTCGGAGAAATGTCTATTCAAATCCTTTACCTATATTTTTAAAATTGGGTTGTTTGTCTTTTTATTGTTGAGTTGTAAGAACTTTTTATATATTCTGGATACTAGATACTTATCAGTTATATGATTTGCAAAAATTTCCCCCCATTCTGTGGTTTCTTTTCACTTTCTTGATAGTGTCCTTTGATGTACAAATGTTTTTAATTTTGATGAAGTTCAATTTATCTTTTTTTCTTTTGTCATTTGTGTATTTGGTGTCATATCTGAGAATCCATTGCCAAATCTAAGGTCATGAAGATTTACTCCATGTTTTATTCTAAAAGCTTTATAGTTTTAGCTCTTACATTTAGGCCTTTGGTCCATTTTGAGTTAATTTTTGTAAATGGTGTGAAGTAGGGGTCCAACTTTATTTTTTCCATATGGATATCCAGTTGTCCTAGCACCATTTGTTAATAAGACTGTTCTTTCTCCATTGAAGTTTTGGTACCCTTACTGAAAATCAATTGACCATAGATGTGTAGGTCAATTATCTGGCTCTCAATTCTATTTCATTGATCTATATGTTATCCTTATGGCAGTATCACATTATTTTGATTACAGTAGCTTTGGAGTGCTATTTAAATCAGGGAGTGTGAGTTCTTTTATTTTGTTCTTTTTCAAAATTACTTTGGCTGTTCTGGGTCCTTTGCAATTCCATGTGAATTTTAGGGTCAGCTTTTCTATTTCTACAAGAATCTATTGGGATTTCAGTGGGGATTGCATTGAATCTATAGACTACTTTGGAAATACTGCTATTGTTAACAATATTAAATCTCCCAATCCATGAGCATGGGATGTATTTCCATTTATTTAGGTCTTCTTTAATTTCTTTCAGCAGTGTTTGTTTTCAGCATACATGTCTTTGACTTCTTTGGTTAAATTTATTCCTAACCATTATTTTATTTTATTTTATTTTATTTTATTTTTCGAGAGAGAGAGAGCATGCACATGGGGGGGAGGGGCAGAGGGAGAGAGAGAGAGAAAAAATCTTAAGCAGGCTCCACACCCAGCACAGAGCCTGACACAGGGCTCCATCTCACGACCCTGAGATCATGATCTGAGCCGAAATCAAGAGTGGGATGCTTAACCAACTGAGCCACACAGGCGCCCCCATTTTATTATTTTAGATGCTGTTGTAAGCGGGATTGTTGTAACTTCATTTTTGGATTGTTCGCTGTTAGTGTAGATACGTATAACTGATTTTTGTGTGTTGATCTTGTTTCCTGCAGCTTTGCCAAATTCATTTATTACCACTAATAGTTCCTTTGTGGATTCTCTACGATTTTCTATATATAAGATTGTCATTTGTAAATAGAGCTAATGTTATTTCTCCCTTTCCAATTTGGATGCCTTTATTTCTTTTTCTTGTCTAATTACTCTAGCTAGAACTTCTGGTACAGTGTTGAATAGAAGTGATGAAAATGGGCATCCTTGGGCGCCTGGGTGGCTCAGTTGGTTGGGTGACTGCCTTCGGCTCAGGTCATGATCCTGGAGTCCCGGGATCGAGTCCCACATCAGGCTCCCTGCTCAGCAAAGGAGCCTGCTTCTCCCTCTGACCCTCCTCCCTCTCATGTGCTCTCTCTCTTTCTCATTCTCACTCTCTCAAATAGATAAATCTTTGGGGGAAAAAAAAAAAAGAAAATGGGTATCCTTGTCTTGTTCCTGTTCTTAGGGAAAAGCTTTCACTCTTTCACCATCGAGTATGATGTTAGCTGTGACTTTTTATCAGGTTGACGAAGTTCCCTTCTATTCCAAATTATTTCAGCTTTTTTTTTTATCATGAAAAGGGGCTGGATTTTGTCAAATACTTTCTCGGCATTCATGGAGATGATTGTGTGGCTTTTTTCCGTCTTTCTGTTAATGTGGTGTATTACACTGATTGATCTTCATATGTTGAACCAACCTTGCATTTCTGGGATAAATCTCATTTGATCATGGTGCATAACCCTTTTCCTGTGCTGGTGAGTTCAGCTTGCTAGTATTTTGTTGAGGATTTTTGTCCCCAAGTTTATCTTTAAAAGGTGGCTGAGCATCTTGGTTAGGAAACAGAAGTCAGATCAATTTCATTCTCATCCTAATTCTGCCACTCACTTAGTGTAATGGGTGTGTTGACTAAGGTTCAGTTTCTTTGTCTATAAAATGGGTTCATAAGCATATCCACCTCCTGGCAGATTGTGAGGATTCCGACAAAGGATGGACAGATTTACTGGGACACCTATGTGGTGTTTCCCTGTGCCTGGCTCTTGGGCTGGCTCCCTGTGCTGTGTGCCTTGCATATATTAGTTCATAGATAAATCTTGCAACAACCCTGTTAAGTGAGTGCCATTAGGGCCCTAACAAGGAGGCTTGGGCACCAAGAGGTGACGTGGATCTCTTGAGAACACACAGCTGGAAAGCAGGAAGCCAGCATCATTGCGGCCTTGGAGCCTCTCAAGTAGGCACTCAACAGGGGCTGTTGTTTTCACCCCCAAGGTTTTATGACAAAATGTTTTCAAGCACGCAGGGAAGCCGAAAGACTTGTAACCAGTCCCCTGTACACCCACCACCCAGATCCTGCCATTAGGTCTGTCTGTGCTTACTCTATCACTCATCTGTCCATCCCATTTCTGATGCATTTCAAAGTTGCAGACATCAGAATACTTCCCCCCACACACATTTCCAGCATGCATACCATGAAGTAGAATTCATTCATTTCCTGCTCATTTTCTTTTAAAGTCAAATACATGCTGTGCACAGACCCAAGTATGTTAACGACTACATATACTTGTGCAACCCAAGCCCCCATCAAGACCTAGAACATTCCTCCACTCCAGCCAACGCCTCCTGCCCCTTCCCAGTGAGTTCCCACCCCGACCCCTACCCCCTAAGGAATAGCCACGCTTCGGACTTTTTTCACCAAGATTAGTTTTGCTGGTTCTAGAACTTCATATAAAGGGAGCCATACAGCACTGCACTCTTGTTTCTGGCTGTTTTCACCGGGAGCTGTCATCTGTGTCCCTCCTGGTGCAGATGCACACTGAGGCCCGAGGTGGGGGCGGGGGACTTGTCCAGGATCACCCGACACGCCGAGCGGGTGGCACCCAGGGCTTTGGCATCCAGCCTGCACAACACCGCCTCCACACCCGGCCTGACCTGTCTTCCCACAGGGCGAGAGGCTGAGCCACGCCGTGGGCTGTGCCTTTGCAGCCTGCCTAGAGCGGAAGCAGCGGCGGGAGAAGGAATGCGGGGTCACGGCCGCCTTCGACGCCAGCCGCACCAGCTTTGCCCGCGAGGGCTCCTTCCGCCTCTCAGGCGGCGGGCGGCCCAATGAGCGAGAAGCCCCCGAGAAAAAGAAAGGTGGGTGCTGCCCAGAGGGGATCCAGTTTGGGGGCAGAGCGGCAGAAGCACAGGGAGTCTGCCCTTTACAAAGCACAGCACCAACCACAGGGTTTGGTTACAGTTTATAGAGCTTACTTATTTGGGCAATATTGTGCAGGCCACAGATCCCGGCAAAACTCACCAGCGCTCCATTATCTGCTAAGTCAGGGAGGCTCAGAGGCATTTCAAATTGTGTATCAAGGCCAGTTAATGGCTTGTGAAGTCAGCTCGGTGGATTGTGGCTGGCTGGCACTGAAAAAAACTGAAATAGAAAAGAATAGAAAATATCAGATTAGCTGAATGTATTAAGGTAAGTGTAGTTCGATGATACTTTTATTTTGTAGACATACACATATTTGTAGACATACACATATTTCAGTGTATGTCTTTGTGTGTGTCTGTGTGTGAGACAGGTTACTGTGTGAAAGGTTTTTCTTATTCTGGGTTGCCATCAAGAAAAATATCTGGTAATCTCTAACATTCTAGGCAAGTGGCAAATATTCTGTAAATTCTAAAACAGTGTGGTTTTTATTATTTTCTTGGAAGAGAGAGTGTGAGCAGGGGTAGACAGAGAAGGAGACAGAATCCCAAGCAGGGAGTGCCTGGGTAGCTCAGTTGGTTAAGTGTCTGCCTTCGGCTCAGGTCATGATCCCAGGGTCCTGGGATCGAGCCCCGCATCAAGCTCCCTGCTCAGCGGGAAGTCTGCTTCTCCCTCTCCCTCTGCCCCTCCCCCCACTCATTCTTGCTTGTGCTCTTTCAAATAAAAAAAAATTTTTTTAACACTGTCTGGGCCATAGCAGAACCCAGAGAATATATTCTTTTAATTGAAAAATTCTAGGTGCTTCATAAAAGATCTTTTTTTTTTTTAAGATTTTATTTATTTATTTGATAGAGAGAAAGCACAAGCTGCGGGGGAGGGGAGAAGCACAGGGAGAGGGAGAAGCAGACACCCTGCTGAGCAGGGAGCCCGATTCGGGACTTGATCTCCGGACCCTGGGATCAGACCTGAGCTGAAGGCAGACGCTTAACCAACTGAGCCACCCAGGTGCCCCTCTCTCAAAATCTTAGGAAGGAAAAGAAAAAAAGAACCCCAAGCAGGCTCCACTGGGCTCAGTCTCACAACCCTGAGATCATGACCTGAGCCAAAATCGAGTCAGTCACTTAACCAACTAACCACTCAGGCACCCCTAAAACAGTGTGTTTTTTAAAATATAAGTATACTGTGTTCTGAGTCACAGTATTTTTTTTTTTTTACTGTGGATTCTAGTTTATAAATTTTTGGAAAACACTGCTTTAAAATTTACAAAGAACTTACAGTGGGGAACTGACCCAGATTAAAGGAGGCTAAAGAGATTTGACAAGTAGTAATAAATGCAGGGTGTGATCCTGAATTGGATCTTAGATGATCTCCATCTGTAAAGAACATCTCTAAGGGACATGATCGGGGCAGTTGGGGACATTGGAACACGGACCACAGATTAGCTCATCGTCTTGTACCCACGTTAGACTTAATTGTACTGTGGTTCTGGAGGAGGCCGTCTTTGTTCTTAGGAGGTATATGCTGGAGGTTTTAGAGTGAAGGACGTTGCCTACAATTTGCACTTAAACGGTACAGAAAAAAAATTGTAGAAGGGAAGAGAGATCAAATGAGTTAACTGTGGGGAGCATAGGTTAGGAGAACATGTGGGCTCAGTAGTCCATGATTACATTTTGTTTGTAAGTTTAAAATATTTCTAACAAAACAAAGTAAAAAATAAAAATAAAATGGGGCGCCTGGGTGGCTCAGTCGTTAAGCGTCTGCCTTCGGCTCGGGTCATGATCCCAGGGTCCTGGGATCGAGCCCCACATCAGGCTCCCTGCTCAGGCGGGAGCCTGCTTCTCCCTCTCCCACTCCCCCTGCCTGTGTTCCCTCTCTCGCTATGTCTCTCTGTCAAATAAATAAATAAAAACTTTAAAAAAATAAAAATAAAATAAAAATGCAAATAAAAAAATAAAAATAAAATATTTCTAACTAAAAAGTTAGGAAAACAGAAGTTTTTATCACTAGAATATTAGAGCATCCAGAGTATATTTCTTTGTATAATTACATGACCATTTACATACCTCTTGACAAATTTACAAGTTCTTCACAGGTTACAAAGTATTTTACTGTTTACATCATCTATTTGAATTTGTAAAGTATTTTACCATCTGCCAAGCAGATGACAAAATGAAGTTAACAGAGGGCCTGATCGAGTATATGATGTTTTAGTGTTTATGACACGGTTCTTCACAGCGTTGACAGATATTTCTTTACTGTTTATAGAGGCTGTTGGCATTTACAAAGAACGTGCATTCGCTTTAGAGTTTGCAAAGGGTTTTGCTGTTTCCAAAGGATGTGATCATTTCTAGGTACTTTGCAATGTAGAAGGCACTTCACAGCTTACACAGCAAAGTGCGAGTTTACGGAGTGTGGTGTGATTTGCTGAACATACCACCCAGCATTTCACTGTAGATGCGCTGATTTACAGCCTCGAGGCACCGTGCTTGCCCTTCGACAAGGAGCTCCTTCCAGTTTAGGAGTGATGGAGCAGTGCGCTTTCCACGAAATAGGGAGGGGCTGCAATAATCTGGAAAATTCCCCAGAGGAAGAAGTGTGCCAAGCTGGGTCTAGAATGCTAAGTAGCAACTGGAGGAAGGGGCAGAGTACCTGAGATGGGAAGAATGGTGGGAAGTGGAGAGAAAGAGAGAACTGAAGACAGAATGACAGGAACATAGCATGATGTGGAGAGAGTAGGCCAGAGGGAGAGGCAGGATTAGGGTATTCGTTTAGGACACAGACTGGAGTCAGCCTGTCCCTTCCTAGCATCGTGGCTTCAGCAGTCACTTACCATTGCTGGGCCTCGGTGTCCGCATCTGTAAAATGGGGATAATGCTCATATCAGCCTCACTGGGTAGTTGCGAGAACCGAATGACTCCATACTTGCAGGGCACTTGGAACAATGCCTGAGACATGCATCGTGCACCAAATACGTGTTCGTTAAATTAATCAGAAAGGGAGACAGAAGGTCTCAGAAGGGAAAACAGCGGAAGCAGCAAAGAAAGCCAGACTGGGGACAGAAAGCGAGAGAGACCCAGAAGGTCAGGTTGGAGGAGGAATCCCCGAGGGCCTCCTGGGGCAGGCGGTACTGGCGTGGTGGGGATGAGAAACATTTCAGGGCTCTGACCAGCCTGTCGTGAGGACAGGCAGGACATAGTGGGTGAGGAAGGCAGCACTGGAAGACGATCCAAGGGGACTTGGTGGGAGAGGAGCAAATACCTAGGTGGGGTATCTAACCACCTGTCTCCCCCATGTCTCCAGCAGAGGCAGCAGCTGCCCCAACTGCGGCGCCCGGCCCTGCCCAGCCTGGGCACGTGTCCCCGACCCCGGCCACCACATCCCCCGGTGAGAAGGGTGAGGCGGGCACCCCAGTGGCTGCAGGCACCAGTGCGGCCGCCATCCCCCGACGCCACGCCCCCCTGGAACAGCTGGTTCGCCAGGGCTCCTTCCGTGGGTTCCCGGCACTCAGCCAGAAGAACTCACCTTTCAAACGGCAGCTGAGCCTACGGCTGAATGAGCTGCCATCCACACTGCAGCGCCGCACTGACTTCCAGGTGAAGGGCACAGGTGAGCCCGGGGGCTCGGCGGGAAGGAACATCAGGATCGATACCATACCGCCGTCCGCAGTAAGCACCAGAGAGGGAAGAGGTGGTATACACCTTGATCGATTAGCACTGTCCGCCAGGGGAAAGGAAAGAGAGGTGGAACACATCGTGGTCGATTGGCGATTAGCCCCATCTGCCGCCAGCAAGGGAGAGAGCGGGAGTATAAATCATGATCGATTAGCAATGTCTGCCATTGGCAAGGAACCGCAGAAGGATGGCACAAGCCTCGATCGATTCGTAATGTCTGTTGTGGTTAGGGACATGAGAGAGGTGGCTTTCACAACAATTGATTAGCAGAGTCTGCCAGGGCTCGGGAGAGGGGAGAAGCTGCCTAGATGCCATTGTTTGCTCAGGAGGAGGCTGAGACTCCAAGCATTTGGCCATTGGAGCCATAAGATCTAGCTAGATGAAGGATACAGGCTCAGACGAAGGGAGGATTGTGATGGGTTAACAATGTCTGCCTGGGGCAGGGAGAACAGAATGACAGCATATGGTACGATCTCCTGACAGGGTCTGCCATGAGCAAGAAAAAGGAGCGAGGTGGCACACCATATGATTAATTAGTGAAGGTTGCCATGGATAAGGGAGAAGAGAGAGCAGCAGAAGTTATGTTAGCTCAAGGAGGGGCTCCCAGAATTTGGCCAGTGGAGACAGGAGGTGAAGAGCACACATGAGCATGGGGGTCAGGGGTCAAGGAGCATAGTGACGGGTTTGCAATGTCACTGGCAGGCAGAGGATCAGGCAGAGGCAGCACCCATCATCGTTGACCAGCCATGTCTTCCAGGGACAGTGCTGAAGAAAGAGGTGACACATCATCATCGATTAGCCATGTCTGCCCTGGGTGCTGCTAGGAGAGGCAATGGAGCTGTTCCGTTTTTCTTAGAGGGGAGATGGAATTGCAAGGACCAGCGCTCTCTCTTAGCCATGAGGTCTGGCCAGGTGAGGGGGAAGGCGAGCAGAGTTCAGTGGGGAAAAAGCATCGTGTTCGATTACTCATGTCTGCCACAGGCTAGAAAAAGGAGAGAGAGGTGGCATAGGTCATGATCTAAAAGCCACGTCTGCGTGGGAAAGGGGGAAGAGAGGTGGCCCAGTGCCGTGTTCTGCCCGAGGGAGACAGACAAGAGGGCTGCCTTTCCTCCCAGCTGTCCGTGAAGTCACAGGGTCTGGGCCGCTCTCCTGCTTCCGTATGCCAGATCGGAGACGCCCACCTCTTATGGCCTCGGGGACTGGCGTGGGAGGTGTTGATCTGTGTCCGGAAGGCTGGGCTGCCCCCAAAGGTGACTGCTGAGCAGATGCCAATGCCGGTCGAGAGTGACGCACAAGCGTTCCCTGTCCTGCTGTGTCCCTCGGCAGTCACACACCCTCGCACTTGCTGTCCTAATACAGCCTGACGCGAGCACACTCCCTGGCTCCCCCTGATATGGAAGCTTCATGCGCCTGGAACCAGTGGCACACTTGCTTGGTGTGACCTGCCCCCCAGAACTTTCAGATCCATAGGAGTCACGGGTGCCACACACAGAAGTCACACACTCATTGTGACTCAGAAGTCACACACCCTCGGAAGTCACAGAAGCCGATGTTTCCATTAAACACACACTTGGGCACGTATCCAGATAGCCCACGAGGATGTACACACACTCACAAACCACACACCTGGATTCACGCAAACTCGAAAGTCACATCTCAGATTCACGCACGATTGCAAAAACATTCGTGTGTCACACGGGGGTGGCTGGATTGGCTCACGCTTGGGAAGCACAAGCAAGATGCCACATGCCTGGGTTTTGGTCACACTGAGATGTCACACCCTCAAAAAGCTGCACACCTATTTGGACTAAACTGGTCGTCCTAGAATTGACCTGGAAACCGCTGCCCTTCCCACCTGGGCACCCCCACGTCACACCTCGGAGCCCTACAGCCGATTTCTTTCTGATGCTCATCGGAGCATCATACAGGTTCCCTTGGAGACAACCACTTGCTGAGGTATCACACCACACTGGCATTTCTCCGTTGTTTGTTTGGTGTGTTTGTTTTTTTTTTTTTTTAATATTCTGCATTTATGACACTGTTTATTTTATTTTTTGAAGATTTTATTTATTTGAGAGAGAGAGAGAGCACAAGTGGGGGGAGAAGCAGAGGGAGAGGGAGAGGCAGACTCCCCACTGAGCAGGGAGCCTGATGCGGGGCTCGATCCCAGGACCGTGGGATCATGACCTGAGCCGAAGGCAGACCTTATTAACCGACTGAGCCACCCAGGCGCCCCTCTGTTGTTTATCCGGATGACACCTTTGTTCATCCCAAGCCCTTGTGAGGCCACCATACCCGCTCAGGTTTTCCTGGCTGGCTGGAACAGGTGCATCTCTGCCCTCATGATGAATGCTCTTGGCCAGGCCAGGTGTGGTGGACAGGGCCCTGCTTCTCCACCCAAAGTCGGACAAATGATCCCCAGCCAGTGCACAACAGTGTGGCCAACATCCATCCTGACAAGTCAGTCCTCTTGCCATCTATGTGGTTGGACATATTTTTAATTAATATATATTGGTAAACATTTAAAATATTTCTTCTGGTTTGTAGCTATACCCAGATCTCAAGGTCCTCCTTGGTTTGTGGGGTCCCTGTGACTCTTAGCCAGCACATGTCCCATACCACTTGGCTGTTGTGTCACTCAGATATAACATCTGCACAGAGTTAGCCTATTTATGATCACAGCCGTTTGGTTCCTGCAGAGTGGACCCATGACCCACACACCCCACGATCCCAGGTCGTCAGAGGGGGCCACCTGAGCGCACAGGGTTGAGGGCAGGGCCTGGGCCTCTTCGCTGACCTCCACCCTTCCCTGACTTCCCAGTGCCCGAGATGGAGCCTCCCGGTGCCAGTGACAGTGACAGCATCAATGCTCTGTGCACACAGATCAGCTCGTCCTTCGCCAGCACCGGAGCCCCAGCACCCGGGCCACCACCGGCCTCAGCAGGTAAGCGAGCCCATCTCCTGCAGCAGCCACCCCACAGTGGCCCACCTGCAGCCCCATTCAGGGCTACCTCCCAGACGCCGGGAACCTGGGAATCCCACGAGCTTAGAACCATGGATCATCTAAGGGCTATGGGCCCATCCTAGCACCATGGAGTCCGTTTTGAGCCTTGGATCATCTTAGAATCCCAGGGTCTCAGAGCCATGGGTTCATCCTAGAACCATGAGGTAACATGAGAATCACGGGGTCAGCTTAGAACCACGGGATCAATTTTAAACCTTCCTGTCTCAGAACCATAAAATTTAGAAACCTACAGCTTTAGAATCACAGGATGTTAGAACCTCCAGATTGGGAACCATGAAACCTTGGAATCACCCTAGAACCATGAGCTTATCCTAGAACCACGGAAGCACTTGGAACTGCAGTATAAATTGAGAACTCTAGAATCTTCAAAAGCACAACCTTAAAACCCCCGAACCTCGCTCACTATGTTGGAACAGTAGAGTATACTCTGAGAAAGACCCATGCAATCTTAGAATCCTAGCCTCCCAAAACGATACATTGTCAAAATAATCAGAACTAAGGGTGCTAGTAAAAATATTTAGTAACAAGTTTGGCACTGACCAATCAGAAGGGAAGCTGGGCTGGTGATTGTCAGTCTCGCAGGTACTCTTCCATCTTAGGACCTGAGAATCCCAGAACCGTATTTTCTGAGCACTTCGGAATCATTCCACGGTGCAGGGTGGTTAAGCCGTTTGCCCTGAAGTCGACACAGCTAGTGAGGAGCGGAGCTGGATGCAAGGCACACAGCTGCAGGATCCAACCCCCAGCCTAGGGTTCTCTCAACTGTCCCCTCTCCTCTCTCTAGGAACTTCCGCCTGGGGTGAGTCCTCCGTGCCCCCTGCAGCGGCCTTCCAGCCCGGGCACAAGCGGACCCCTTCGGAGGCCGAGAGGTGGCTAGAGGAGGTGTCCCAGGTGGCCAAGGCACAGCAGCAGCAAGCGGCCTCCGTGCCCCCCGTGGCCCCTGCCCTGCAGCCCTTCCCTGCCCCCATGGGGCCCTTCGATGGCGCACCCACCCAGGTGGCCGTGTTCCTGCCGCCCCCACACATGCAGCCCCCTTTTGTGCCCGCTTACCCGGGCTTGGGCTACCCGCCCATGCCCCGGGTGCCCGTGGTGGGCATCACACCTTCACAGATGGTGGCCAACGCCTTCTGCTCAGCCGCCCAGCTCCAGCCCCAGCCTGCCACCCTGCTCGGGAAAGCTGGAGCCTTCCCGCCCCCAGCCATGCCCACTGCCCCTGGGGGCCAGGCCCGCCCACGCCCCAATGGGGCACCCTGGCCCCCGGAGCCGGCCCCTGCCCCGGCCCCTGAGTTGGACCCCTTTGAGGCCCAGTGGGCAGCATTAGAAGGCAAACCGGCTGTAGAGAAGCCTTCCAACCCCTTCTCGGGCGACCTGCAGAAGACCTTCGAGATTGAACTGTAGCCCATGCCACCCTGCCCGCCCCAGCATCTCCGGGTGCCCCACACCTGGGCGTGGAGGCCCAACCTCTCCCTAGTCCCGCTCCCTGGGGCTGCGCCCCCCCCAACACCCCCTCTAGCCCCTTCTCTTGATCACCCCCCACAACCACTACAGAACCGACATTGTACGCCCAGATTGCGACAGGATGGAATTCAGGGATGGACCCGGCCTGGCTAAGGGACCCATTTCACTGCCAGACTTAAGCTGGCAATGCCCTTCCCCCACCCCTCCACTCCCACCCCAGACACAATGGGATGGCCACAGTCCCACTGAGTGCCCTCAGTTCAAGTGACATGTCCCAGTTTCTCTTGACCTTCCACCTTCCAGTGTTGGGTGGGATGGAAAAGGGATGCCCACTTTGGGGCTCTTCTGGGCCCCACACGAGGGCCCACCCCAAGTCTGGTCATCCCCTCCCATACACAGCACAAGCAAAGGGCTTCCCTCTGCCCACCTGCTGCATTCACTGCCAATGCTGTGCTCACCCCTATCACCCCTCTCCCCCACTGGGGGGGCCCACATCTTCCTTGGCCAAGGTCTCATGAGGGCGGGGGCCAAGTTGGGGGCCCAGGAGGCGGGGTAGGAGGAAGGGGAAGGAGATGCTCAGTTACCTCACGTCAGTGCCCGCTGGGGAGGGGTCCGGGACGAATCGGGGGGTGCCTGGCGGGTACTTTTCTATCTTTTATTTCCAGATTTTTTTGTATCTAAACTTACAGATTTGTATTATACAAGGACAGCCAATAAAGGAAGAATATAATGATGCCCCTCGGGACAGCGGGGTGTGTGTCGGGGTTGGGGGGGAATGGTGTGGTGGCAGAGCCTTATCTCCTGAGCCATCTCCTAAAACAAGAGGCAGTAAAAAGGGTCTCCCTGCACCATAACCTCTGAGTCATAACATGGTAGCAGGGAATGCTGACCCAGCATTTGAGAGATGGGTATTAAAGGGGACCCAAAATTAATCACCCCAATTTCTAATTCTTACAGATTTTGAACCAAGGAATTCAAAAAAATATAACCTGCTTCTAATCAGTTCAGTATTGAAATGGTTTTTTTTTTTTTTTTTTAGTTCAGTATGGAAATTTTCAATAACCAGGTTTGGAATAGATCTTTGACTGAGCTGGAAAATTCTTGTTTGGTCAAGTGCATTTTCTGTAATTTAGGCCAAAGTGTCATCTGACATGGCAGCATGTTGCTTTTTAAGTCTCTTGTTCCTTGGGTCCCTTGATATCATCTACAAGTTATATATTTTAAAATAGGTAACATACAAATTTATGTTTAATTCCTTATAGCTCTTGAAAATGAGGTGTTTGATTTTGTGAAACCCAGTATTATATCCCCAGCTGATGGACTGGGAAGTTCAGTCACTTGCCCAAGGCCACACACCTGGTCCGCGGGGGAAGCTGTGATGAACCCAGCTCCTGGCCAACCTCAAGGCCAATCATTAAACCACCAGGCTGCAAGGGAATAAGCTTAAGGTCCGCCCTTAAGAGTTTCCAGCCCATCAAGCAGGTGTGGACCCTGGACTCTGAGACCTATGCTAGATGGTTCTGCCAGGGCACCCAGGGGTCCCCAGGAGGGAGCAAAGGACTCTGCTGGAAATGACCCATGCTTTCTCATCTCCGAGCTTTGCAGATGCCAGTCCCTCTGCCTACAACACCTTTCCTGACAGCACCTTTGCCTAGAGAGTGCTACTACTCATTGTTTAGGCCTCCGTTCAAATATCACCTCTTCTTAGAAAGGAAGCCTCTTCCATTGCTCCCCCCCTCCAGTCCTTGTAAAGTTTAGACAAATCCTTTCAAAGTTTGCCCCTTCAGGCTGAGTCAGGAGCACCCTTCCCCACTTGGGCCCCCTGCTCCCCCTTCCTGGAGCTAATTCAGTCCTAGCCCTGCCCCATTCTGGGCTGTCGCTATCTGGGCCCCCACTGGGCTGTGAGTGTGGGTCTCTCTCAGTCACTTCAATGCTACAGCACAGGGCCGGGCCCAGAAGGGGCAATCTCAGCAACTCAACTCTGCAATCTGCTGACTAGAGAGAGGGGCAGGAAGGGCCTAGGACTCGGACAGAGATAATTAGAGCGTTTGGACTGATGGGGAAACTGAGGCCACGCAGCACACAGAAAATCAGGGACAGAGTCAAAACTGTCTTCCCTGTCACAGGCTGATCTTTACCCAAAACCGTGCTTTCCTGTGCCCAGAGCAGTCTTTCTCAGCTGCCCCCGCCCCAACATTCCCCGGAGATGCAGATGTTCTGGTCCCCCGGGCTCCACGGGCCCGTTATCTCCCGAGCACCTTGCACAGGCTCCTCTCAGCCCATTTCCCCATCTTCCCACACCCGATGGAGACTGGCTCTTCATGGTGCTTCTCTCTCCACAGAGACCATAGATCTGGGGTTAACCTCCCACTCTTCACTTCCCCCAAGCTTGGGCTCTCTCAGAATAGATCTAGAGATGCAGAGTTAACGCCCCCGCCCTATCTGGGAACCTCCTCCCACCTAAGGCCACGTGCGGCATCCCCACCCCACTGCCACCAAGGTCACTTTGCGGAGATCATCCGGCCCAGGCTGGTTCAGCGCCCCCTTTCCAGTTCTGTCTGGAAAGGCCGGCCCACCCTCACAGCGGCTCCCCGCGCCCCGCCGCGCGCCCCTCGGGGAATAGGCCATGTATGTGTGCCCCTCCCCGTGCTTTCTGTTGGGTTCCTCCCCTCGCGATGCCTTCTCTTCAGGCACCAGGGGGGTAGCGAGGGCTCTTTTGGAACGTTCCACGCGCGCTAGTGCCTAGCGCCCCGCCCCTTTCCCCGGGACTCTTTGGAAGGCTCCGCCCTGCGCCGCTGCCGAGGGGCGCCCCGCCCCCGAGCCGGGGGAACAGACCCCACCGCGCCGGCGCCCTGCGGCTCCCCTCCGCGCCTCTTGGGGCGGAAAGCCCCCCCCCGCCCCGCGCACACAAGCAACCCCCGCCCTCCAGAGCCCCCGCCAGATCTCCGGCTCCCGCAAGGCCGCGGGGATCAGCGCGAGCGCGGGAGAGCAGCTCCCCCTTGTGGCCCTGTCCTCGGGAACTCGCGGCAAGCCCGATCCCGGGCTCGGAAGGAGAGACACGCAGGACCGATGCTAAGGCAGAAAAGGTGTTAAAATGCATACAGACATGCAGGCATGCATGCATGCATGCATGCATAAAAAAAATTGGCGTCGCAGTCATGAACAACATTCTGCAGGCTCTGGATCAGCCGTTTGCTCCTTTAGGAAGTGCTCCCTGACTCCTCCCCCATCATCCATTCCTCCAGCTCCTCCTTGACCACCCTGCCGGTGCCTCCCTGGCCTGGCCCCCTACCATGAGCACCTATGAAGGCGCACACACGAGGTGTGCCTTTCCACAGTGTCAGCTCTATTCAATCATAAAGCAAAGTAAAATCACAATTATGGAGCAGGTTCAGGATTCCAAACTCAATGACAATTCACCATGTGATTAAATTTGGCTTCTGACACAGCACACAGAGCAGGACAGAAGACAAGCCCGCACAACAAATAAGATCACAGAGGGGTGCAGGAAGTGAACGAACCAAAGGCAAAGTCAGTCTGTGGGCGCGCAGCTGAGATAAGGCCTCTGTCTGGCCCAGGTCAGCTCTTGGCACTTACTGCTTCAGATGTTCAAGCCATGAAGGGTCTCGGTTCTGTCCGGAGATCAATCAGATGCCTCTTTTAAGTGGTCAAACATAGAGGGGTCAGGTCTGAAGAGTCTGACAGTTTGCTGCCAAAAGGGATTTAATCGGTTTTGGGTCTCTGCAGACCTGCTCTGGTTCTGCTTCTTATCGGTTCTGGGGTGCCAGCTGATGTTGGTCCCCGCGATATCTCCTAGCTGCGGCACCTTAACTGCTTGTGTCATGGCTTGACACAGGCCGCTGCTTGACATGAGAGACTCCATTTTGCTCTCTACAGCCCCCCCCCCCCGGGGGGGCTGTCACTGTCTGCCTGTGAAGGCAAGGACAGGGCTGTCTGGGTCACCACCGGGCCTCCACAATCAGGGCACAGAGTAAGCCTCAGATGACCAGCAAGGCACCTCCTAGGGAGCATTCACTTACTCCCTCAACACACATTTTGCTTTGTTTTGATTTAATAGCTTTATTGAGGGGCGCCTGGGTGGCTCAGTCTGCCTTCGGCTCAGGTCATGATCCTGGGGTCCTGGGATGGAGCCCCACATCCAGCTTCCTGCTCAGGGGGGAGGGGAGAAGGGGGTCTGCTTCTCCCTCTCCTCCTGACTCTCCCCACTGCTCATGCTCTCTTACTCTCTCTCTCAAATTAAAAAAAAATTTTTTTTAATTAAATAAAATACTTAAAAATAGTTCTATTGAAGAATAATCTACATATCAAAAATTTCACCCGTTTTAAGTGCTTTCATGATTTGGGGTTGACTTTACAGAGTTGTACAGCCATCACCACACTCCAATTTTAGAACATTTCCATCATCCTAAAAAGATTCTTGGGCCCATCTGCAGTCACTCCCCATTCCCACACCCAGCCCCAGGCAGCCATTGATCTCCTTTCCCTGACGTATGTATCTTTTTCTTCATTTTACATGCATTTGCTGAATAATTGCTTCCATCAGATATTAGGTGCTGAGAATACACAATGACACACACAGGCTCTGCCCTCAGGGGAGCTAAAGTCTGGCTGGGGCAATGGCTAATGGGAAAATATGTCCATGTGCTCATTCATTCATTCAAAACTATTTAATGTTTATTGAGTGCCTTCCAAGTGCCAGGTACTACCCTAGGACCTAGGGATAGAGCAGTGGGGGGCGGGGGGAGAACAAAAATCCTGCTCTGCTGGAGTTGATATTTTAATGAGAGGATAAAAAATAAAGAAATAAACAAGTAGATGTGTGATACAATGGCTGGTTGAACGTTCTGAAGTGTTATGAAAAGAAGTAAACCGGTGGAAGGGATAGAAAGTGATGGGGTGAGGGGCGCCTGGGGGGCTCAATCAGTTAAGCATCGGACTCTTGGTTGCAGCTCAGGTTGTGATCTCAGGGTCCTGGGAGTGAGCCCCACATCTGAGCTTTGGCACCAGGGCTCCCTGCTCAGCAGAAGTCTGCTTCTCCCTCTCCCTCTGCCCCTCCCCCCTGGGCTCATGCGTGTGTGTGTGTGTGTGTGTGTGCGCGCGCGCACGTGCGCGCACTCTCTCGTTCACTCTCAAATGAATAAAATCTTTTTTTTTTTTTTAGATTTTTACTTATTTGACAGAGCGAGACAGCGAGAGAGGGAACACAAGCAGGGGGAGTGGGAGAGGGAGAAGCAGGCTTCCCGCCGAGCAGGGAGCCCAATGCTGGGCTCCATCCCAGGACCCTGGGATCATGACCCGCTGAAGGCAGACACTTAACGACTGAGCCACCCAGGCGCCCCAATAAATAAAATCTTAAAAGAAAAAAAAAATCTCTCCCTCCCCCTCTGACCTTACCTACCCCCCTTGCTCTTGCATTCTTTCTCTCTAAAATAAATAAATCTTTTTTAAAAAAGTGATGGGGTGTGATTTTTTTAAAGATTTT